CTGAGGAAGAAACTAGTGAAATGCTACATTTAGAGCATAGCTCTGTATGGGGCTGAAACATGGACACTTAGGGCAGTAGATCAGAAACATCTGGAAAGTTTCGAAATGTGGTGTTGGCGAAGGATGGAGAAGATCAGTTGGACCGATTATGTGAGAAATGAAGAAGTGTTATTTAGAGTTAGTGAGCAGAGGAATATCCTACACGAAATAAGAAAACGGAAGGCTAATTGGATTGGTCATATCTTACGCAGTAACTGCCTTCCAAAAGAAGTTATTGAAGGAAAGATAGAGGGGCGATAGAAGTAACAAGAAGACGAGGAAGAAGACGTAAGAAGATGCTGGATGACCTTGGGGACAGAAGAGGATACTGCCATTTGAAGGAGGAAGCTCTAGATCGCATTAAGTGGAGGAATTGTTTTGGAAGAGACTGTGGACCTGTCGTCTTGACAGATTACTGATGATGATGTGTTGCATAGTGTTGGCGGTTTAGTCTCGATGATGTTCACACATTCGATGTTAAGTTTTAAGTGCCGAACGGCAGACCATTATGCACTATACACTATTATACACTTCTCACTGTTATATACATGAAGAGTTTATTTACATATTACACAGGTCTATTCTAAAGGGGCAACACCGGAAATGTCCGCATAGATATAATCTCCACATGCCTGTCCTTCCTCGTCACCATCAGATGAATCGGAGCTATCATCAGAACTGTCATCATTATCACCACCAACATGGAAGAAGAACTCCCGTCCTGCGTCCAAAATACCTTCCCGTGCCATTAATTGTTGCTCAATGTGGAAGTGGAAGACCCAGATTCGATATTTTTTGTTTCTCTGACACTACTTTCCGATACACCTGTTGCCTTTGCTACTTCCACTCCTATGTTCTTCACTGTAACTGTTGGCCTAGCCTCTTTCATATACTTATATACATTACTAACAATTTCTCTTGATTGTGAATGCAACACTTTTCCATTCAATTTACTTCGTGTAGGTGGCATGTTAAAGGAGATAGAAAAATGTACAAATATAAATAAACAAAAAAGAAAAGCAACGAATAAAAATAAACAATAAAATAAAATATTAATACAATAAATAGAGAATAATACACTCAAATACGACTTCAAGAGTCAAAACTTTTTAACTTGACTGTATAAGGAAGAATGCTTTTAACTGAACTTGACACGTCTGCTCGCACTGAATACAGACGAATGATTAATCACAACGCCCCTCAGCTTTCATGAATGGACCTGCCCATCCACTGCGCAGCTATTCCTGGACTGTCACTTCTAAATACTCGTCCTGTACGCACTGGGAACTGAACTGCATGTCAGTGGCAACAGTGGCGTATATTTTGAGAATAAAGCCAAAAGTAGGGAAATTTTACTAAAAGATATTAAAAGGAAATCCGTGGCCTGTAGTCTGGAAGCGAACGTTACCTACCGAGCGACCGTCGCTTGTCTGTGTGGTTGAGTATGAGAGGTGAGCCATAAAAGTGGCCCTAGCACTGCGATCTTCAGTGGTGTCTGTGAGATTAGCGCAAACTTTAGCAGAGAGAGGGTGTCACGTGGTCAGCGCAACGAATCCCCATGGCCGTTAATCTCGGCTTTCTAGACCGGAGCCGCTATTTCCTTGAAATAGCTCCTCAGTTATCCTCACGAGGCTGAATGGACCCCGTTCCGGATCCACTACTTCTCAGAAAATCTGGTAGCGCCGGGAATCGAACCCGGGACCTCAGGATCTGTAGGCAGGAACTTTGACACTAAAAATACACATAAAGTTTAAATGGAAATATAGACATATCAACTCTGATAAGTGGTCTTTCAGATACTTTTTTTCTTCATAATTTCATAACGACACGTAGTTGAGATATTGAATAAAAAAAGGGAGTAACAATTATAAAATTAAACGCTGCAGTAACAAATTTCAATGTCCAGGGAATTTTAATGCCCCGCGGGAGAGATAAGAGCACGGAAAATATACCACCACTTAAATGGTTAATAAATAATGAATTGGTAAGGATGTGGAAACAAGCGATCTAGACCTAATATGAGGTATTATCTTGGTATTCTCCTCGCGTGGTGACGGTTACAATACCTCCGCCACAGCCGCGCGAGTCGTAGAAGACGATGAAAAGGGGCTCGATGCCTGGGAGTGTAGATGTACCGCCCTGTCACTGCCTCTACACATACTTATTTGTTCATTCAAGGTTTTATTTTGCTCTATTTTGACGGTCAAAAGTTTTATTTCTGCCGCAAGATATTTCAACTGAATTTTGAATTAGATGTCTTATGCCTTTTCCTAGTAGCAGAAAACTGATATGTCCGTAATTGGGCCGGTGTAATTATATGCATCGACCTAGTATGTATTGTGATATCAACAAAATTGCAGACAAAAATTATATGAGTAATTTAACACTCAAATTGATTCGTGATGATGTTTCATTCCAGAAGACAGAGCCCTTAAGATATAACCAGATTAGGGCAATATTTAGAAACTTTACAAATAGGGTTTTCAAGATCTCTATGGTTTCCTCTAAAACATAAGCTTGTAAAATTCTTTGTCTTCGTAGTTTCGTAGGGCTTTGTCTTAAAAATTAAATATCATATGGCACAATATTATAAAAAACACTCAATTTTAAAAATGTTATCTCAAAATCACATTGTTTTACATAAATGTACACTTTATTTACGCAAATACTCATGTCAGGAATGTGACTTTATCTAGTGGCATTTATTACAGAAAGATATTTTATTTAACGGAGAATTACTGATATAAAGTTTCAAATATTCGTATATGAGCGAGCGAACTCTATACTCTTTTAATAATATATCCCTTCCTGTTGAAATTCAAATGCTCGTACGCCTCAGACTAAACAATATTCTTTATTCCTTGTTTGTCTATATCGTAGCCAAAATCATTACTTATCAAAGATTGAGAACTTCATATTCATTTGTCGTTGAGAAAAGGGTGCCATTATTCAATAAACATTTGAGGTAATAACATGTTTATTTCCTCAGACGAACATATCATGAATTCCGATAAGACGTAGAATAAACCACTGTGTTAGCTACTAGAATAACAAAATTTAGATTGTAATAGTATGCATCCTGTTGTGTGTCATAAACAAGGTATATAAAATGCATACAAAAGTTGTGTAGACTGCATACTTTTGTATGTATTCAGATCTAAGATAAAGAAATACTGCAGTAATTTCCAAGTAAGATTTTGTGTCTCTAGTTACATGTCTGATTAAATTTCATAGCTTAATGAAGAAAACAGTCTTCTGGGATTTGGCACCGTGTATACGTGGTGTTAATCGACGTTTCGGAGGAACGTATCGCCTCCATCTTCAGGGTAGAAGGGAAAATATAAGAAATCCGCAAGCGAAGAGACCGTGAGAACCGGTAAAAGCAGAACATGAAGATAGAGGTGATACGTTCCTCCGAAACGTCGGTTAACACCACATATACACGATGCCAAATCCCAGAAGACTGCTTTCTTCATAGTCACCGCCGTGAAAGCCTCAAATCTTTCATAGCTTAATGTTTGCTAAAATTCTGAACGATACTGAACATTACCTCATAATAATAATGATGATGATTTTGCCATTCCTGATATAACGTCATAATTCCAGCCAGTATATAAACTGAGTCTTGTAAATAAATATTTAAATATATAGATTTCTATAATTCTTTTGCACGAAAACGGACACATCTAATTTTTTCCTTTCCATTTTGCTGAAGAAGGTTTCGGTGATAATGTAACAGTTCTTAAAAGATTAAAATTGTTCTATTTAATAATTATATAATTTGGTGACTCGATTCGTTCCGCTTCTGCAGATGTTCTAAAGGACCGTCTCAATCTCGGCTACTTCTTTCCGGAACATTCGTCTGTAAAAGGAAAGGCAGACAGTTACAAATTCATTGCGTCTGTTATTTTGTAACTAACATAACTGAAGAATAGCGAATATTTAAATTTTCATATTCTGAGTTATAATGCCCTGTAGTCTCGTGGGTGGTTATCAGCGTCTTCGGTGAACTCAATGTCTCCTTCTTCGTGAAGGAAATGATGAAGTTTGTGGCAGATGGTTCCCCTGAAATGTCGGCAACTACCTACGTGACTACACGGTGTCGCAAACAAAAATACCAAAATATAATTCTTTGCAGCAGTGAAAACCTCAACTGGCATGTGCATTAAACTAAACTAAATTACTGTGACGTGTATACCCATTACTAGGCAACGACTCGGTAAACACATGCCCGCTGTAAACACGCCTCAAAAAGAGACAGGCTGTTTTCTATATGATCCGCACCGCGACCGTTACTATGCAATGGTGTGGTAAACACGACTAAAACAATGCGGGACAATAGATGACGATGTTTTCCATGGGGACCATGCGAAGTGGTTATAAAGAAGAATTCAACTGAGAAAGATAGAGTGAGGAGTCGAGTTTCGAGATGCCAGCCTGCCGGGACCAGAGGAGTTGAATTGAATCGATAGTAATTAGGTGGTGCAAAGAAGGCTTTATGTGTGATTTGAAGTGACAGTGAGACGGTTATAAATTCGTTGCAATGATACGACTAGTGAAGACTGAGAATCTTGATGAGTGGGTAACGGTGAGGATTAATGTGTGTAAATCAGCGATAATGCTGTTTTGCCCGTAGCCTGAAGTTGTGAATGTATAAGGTGCAATAAATTAACCACCTAATCGAAAACCCATCTTGTAGGTCACGCGCAAACCCCGACACGTCATATTATGTAAGAATTGAGGTTCTTATAACAAAACAAAGCAAAACGAAACTATTGTGACATATGGGCCGTTTCTATAACAACAGAGGAATGTCATCATTGCTAGGCAACGGCCGCGTAAGCATTCTCGCAGCGAATACAGACAACAATAGGGAATACATCGTTATAACTCGTTGCTAGGCAACTGCGTTGTAATACATGACTGGAAGACATTTTCTGTATGGTCCGTGCCGAGGAATTGTAAGAGGTTCCAGAATAACCGAGGAGTCGAAGTCTCAAATCTGATAGTAAAATATGGTCGCGAGTTCCAAGGGACTCAGACCCTAGAAAGACTGCACTGGAAAGGGCCAGCAGCATATACAAAAGGCAGACCCGTCCTCTCGACAGAGAGGGCGCCCCACAGAAACAAGACCGTAACTGTTAAAGGTATCTCGTCATGAGCCCCAGATGGGGCTCGATACCGGGGCTTACTGACTGACTGTCAGTCGCAATGTGACTTTGACTTTGGCTCTGACCGAGGAATCATATCTAATTGTAGCGGGGAAGCTGTGAATTAAGGACACGAAGCCGTCAAGGAAAGGAGTTGAATTGAGTTGAGAGTTCAGTTCTATAGGGGAGGCTCTAAAGAAAAGAACTATATGCCAGAGTGTGGCTGTGAAGAGAAGTCTTTATTTGTAATATCTTGGAGTGTGTAATTCTGTTATAGTTCCTGTGTTTTAATTGCCAGGAGACGGCTAGTGTGTGTAACAGTGAATTATAAAGTGTAGAAATAGCGATAAAAAGTAAAGCTATCTCTGTACCAGGCCGTGAAGGCCCATAGGGTTGTGAGACGTTGAGGGTCCCACATTATCTAGACAATCGGCTTAAAGATGGCGGTAAGGTTGTGAGAAAATGTTATGAACAGGCAAAATGGTGTCGTGAATTTTAAGCAGGTAGAAGTGGTGTTCATGATGAAGGCCATCCGTTCTCACTGATGATATCATCCAGAAACTGATGAAAATATTCGTGCTGACAGACGTTTAACCGTCGATGAACTTCCTCAACAGTGTCCGGAAGTGTCAAGAACAGTTCCCCATGGCTAAGAGAGCAGGCGGGAGATTTCTACAACGCTGGAATAAATAAACTCGTTCCCAGGCTCACTAAGTGCATTGCGATCCGTGGTGACTATGTTGAAAAGTAAATAAAATGTTTTACAAATATTTTCTGGACTTTGTATCTTTACTTTCTGGATATCCTTCCTACTTTCACCATTCTCCTTATTCCTATTGGTTCGCTCATGGCCATATTCCGCCCTTCCATCTCCGTATATCCGCATCATACTTTCCCACACTCGTCTAACTTTCCTTCTTGTAGATAGAGGCAATATTTGTCATCGAAATGTTAGTAAACATCTACTACAATATATGGCGTAACATCTCAGAAGTTTTCCCATGTTGTTATGCATTTATTGGAACTGTAGTGTAGGAAGAAAGATGGCGGAGCTATACCTACACCGGTGGGGGCCACACCCCATGTTGTTATGCACTTATTGGAACTAGTGTAGGAAGTAAGATGGCGGAGCTATACCTACACCGGTGGGGGCCACACCCCATGTTGTTATGCACTTATTGGAACTAGTGTAGGAAGTAAGATGGCGGAGCTATACCTACACCGGTGGGGGCCACACCCCATGTTGTTATGCACTTATTGGAACTAGTGTAGGAAGTAAGATGGCGGAGCTATACCTACACCGGTGGGGGCCACACCCCATGTTGTTATGCACTTATTGGAACTAGTGTAGGAAGTAAGATGGCGGAGCTATACCTACACCGGTGGGGGCCACACCCCATGTTGTTATGCACTTATTGGAACTAGTGTAGGAAGTAAGATGGCGGAGCTATACCTACACCGGTGGGGGCCACACCCCATGTTGTTATGCACTTATTGGAACTAGTGTAGGAAGTAAGATGGCGGAGCTATACCTACACCGGTGGGGGCCACACCCCATGTTGTTATGCACTTATTGGAACTAGTGTAGGAAGTAAGATGGCGGAGCTATACCTACACCGGTGGGGGCCACACCCCATGTTGTTATGCACTTATTGGAACTAGTGTAGGAAGTAAGATGGCGGAGCTATACCTACACCGGTGGGGGCCACACCCCATGTTGTTATGCACTTATTGGAACTAGTGTAGGAAGTAAGATGGCGGAGCTATACCTACACCGGTGGGGGCCACACCCCATGTTGTTATGCACTTATTGGAACTAGTGTAGGAAGTAAGATGGCGGAGCTATACCTACACCGGTGGGGGCCACACCCCATGTTGTTATGCACTTATTGGAACTAGTGTAGGAAGTAAGATGGCGGAGCTATACCTACACCGGTGGGGGCCACACCCCATGTTGTTATGCACTTATTGGAACTAGTGTAGGAAGTAAGATGGCGGAGCTATACCTACACCGGTGGGGGCCACACCCCATGTTGTTATGCACTTATTGGAACTAGTGTAGGAAGTAAGATGGCGGAGCTATACCTACACCGGTGGGGGCCACACCCCATGTTGTTATGCACTTATTGGAACTAGTGTAGGAAGTAAGATGGCGGAGCTATACCTACACCGGTGGGGGCCACACCCCATGTTGTTATGCACTTATTGGAACTAGTGTAGGAAGTAAGATGGCGGAGCTATACCTACACCGGTGGGGGCCACACCCCATGTTGTTATGCACTTATTGGAACTAGTGTAGGAAGTAAGATGGCGGAGCTATACCTACACCGGTGGGGGCCACACCCCATGTTGTTATGCACTTATTGGAACTAGTGTAGGAAGTAAGATGGCGGAGCTATACCTACACCGGTGGGGGCCACACCCCATGTTGTTATGCACTTATTGGAACTAGTGTAGGAAGTAAGATGGCGGAGCTATACCTACACCGGTGGGGGCCACACCCCATGTTGTTATGCACTTATTGGAACTAGTGTAGGAAGTAAGATGGCGGAGCTATACCTACACCGGTGGGGGCCACACCCCATGTTGTTATGCACTTATTGGAACTAGTGTAGGAAGTAAGATGGCGGAGCTATACCTACACCGGTGGGGGCCACACCCCATGTTGTTATGCACTTATTGGAACTAGTGTAGGAAGTAAGATGGCGGAGCTATACCTACACCGGTGGGGGCCACACCCCATGTTGTTATGCACTTATTGGAACTAGTGTAGGAAGTAAGATGGCGGAGCTATACCTACACCGGTGGGGGCCACACCCCATGTTGTTATGCACTTATTGGAACTAGTGTAGGAAGTAAGATGGCGGAGCTATACCTACACCGGTGGGGGCCACACCCCATGTTGTTATGCACTTATTGGAACTAGTGTAGGAAGTAAGATGGCGGAGCTATACCTACACCGGTGGGGGCCACACCCCATGTTGTTATGCACTTATTGGAACTAGTGTAGGAAGTAAGATGGCGGAGCTATACCTACACCGGTGGGGGCCACACCCCATGTTGTTATGCACTTATTGGAACTAGTGTAGGAAGTAAGATGGCGGAGCTATACCTACACCGGTGGGGGCCACACCCCATGTTGTTATGCACTTATTGGAACTAGTGTAGGAAGTAAGATGGCGGAGCTATACCTACACCGGTGGGGGCCACACCCCATGTTGTTATGCACTTATTGGAACTAGTGTAGGAAGTAAGATGGCGGAGCTATACCTACACCGGTGGGGGCCACACCCCATGTTGTTATGCACTTATTGGAACTAGTGTAGGAAGTAAGATGGCGGAGCTATACCTACACCGGTGGGGGCCAGACCCCATAGTTGTCTGCGAAATAATCTCTGCGAATATCGCGGGTTGATCTGTAAAAATCTTCATGTGGTCCGGGGTAATTGCTGCAACAAACAGAGGTACGATAGAATGAGTATCGATCAGGGAAGATATCATATCTTTCAGTTTAATCGATAATAATCGATCTTCATCTGCAAGTGACAGTGTAGGTAGGGTCACTTAGCATGTTACAAGTAAATACATCGCACCTAAGTAATCCGCTATTCCTAACACTAAACAATTCAACAGGGCAGAGCATGTAGCACGAATGGGGGAGAAGAAGAATGCATATAGGATATTGGTGGGAAAACCAGATGGAAAGAGACCACCGGGAAAACCAAGACGTAGGTGGGTGAGCAATTTTAAAATGGATCTTAGATAGGATGGGATGGTATGGATTAGATTGATGTGGCTCAGGATAGGGGCCAGTGGAGGGCTCTTGTGAACATGGTAATGAACTGTCGGGATTTATAAAATGCTGGGACGTTCTTGGGTAGCTGAACAAATGGAGGCTTCTCAAGAAGGGCTCAGCTCCGTGAGTGAAATAGTTCAACATGTGAATTTTAAAGAACACAGAATTAGTTAGTTGCTCTAAGAAAATAACTTGCTTGTTGATGTTGCTATGGGCGTAAAGAAACGTACAAACAGGAAGAAAGGAAGACAGAAAATAATGGAAAGTGATGGATAGTTCGGAAGGAAGAAAAAGAATGGTTAAAGAGGATGAAAGAAAAATAGGCACACAGTATAGGAAAGACAGGAAAGACAGGAAGACAGGGAGGAAGGAAGGCAGACAAGGAAAAAAAGAGAAAAACAAATAATGATGGACAAGAACGAAAGCAAAGCAAGAAGAGGAAAGAAGAAAGAAAAAGAGAATAAGAGAGATTTTAAGAAGGAAAATGAGGAAGATAGAAAAGATAAGAAGGGTAAACAAAGAAAGACAAGAAAGAAGACAAAGGGAGAAAAAACAGGGAAGTATAAAGAATGAGAGGAAGGAGTATGAAAAAGAGGAAGAAGATAGAAGAAAAGCAGAGAATGAGAGGAAAGAAGGAAGAGAGGACCGTACTTTTCAAAATATTTTTCAAAGATCTTGAGGTTTAAGTAGTTTTTAACAATTTCCTCGATCCCCATGGAAGCTGTTCACCTGGAGTGGACGGCAGCGTTGCTCCAGGACCAGGCTAATGATTTCGATCTCGGCCGGCTTGCTGATCTGCTGAGCCGGGGCCCATGAACCTGGCACATGGCAGCAGAGGCGTGCAGCTGTAGGTCCGCTTCAAGTTCCGCCACTCGGCGTTGTGCCGCCCCCAGTGCCGCCTCCAGACGTCCCAGCAGTTCGTCGCATCCCGGCGCGTGACATCGCGTCAACAGAAGACTTTTACGCTCCCTGGGGGGAGGAGCGGCGGGTCCCAGGGTCCTTCCTGCGCTCTGAAGTCAGACATGACAACCGTGTCTTGGTAACAAGCAACAACGGCATGAAAGTACCCGACATATTGAGCCGCTTGATTCTGTAATATCTGAAAACGTCTCGGTCAGTTTCCTTTCGGAATCTCATTACGAGTGATCTTATAGCGCAGTCGATATAACAACTGGCTACGGGATGGATAGCAGAGGCACCAGAGTTCCAGTCTCGGCAGGGGCAACATCTTTCTCCTCTCCACGTCGTCCATACCGGTTTCGGGGCCCAACCAACCTCCTGTCCAGTGGTCACCAGGGTGGGGGAGGTATTCCCCGGGGTGTGAAACTGACTACTCACCTACACTTAGAGCCGATGTCAAGAATACGTGGATCTATACATCCACTGCCCCATACGCCTTCATGCCGTAGTGCTTCATTAGTTAAGCACAGGGACAACTTTGAGATATTAAATCACGTCGAATAGTAGGGGGGTGAATGATGTGTCAGAGAGGATATAGACAGAGGAATGACGCATGCGTAGTAAGATAGCAACGTCACACAACGTAGAGGTCCAAAATTTATGTTATACTCCATCTGCTATGAGAACAAGGTTACGTCATCGATAGGATAGTGACGTAAGCCTGTATGTCTTCATTATAAACCCACTAGATTCTACTTTTAATATGTACTTCGGTATTGATTCGTCGGTGGGAAATTCAAACATACGCATGCAAGTTGCCTGCACAACGTGTGACGTCACCTGAGTTGGTTCAGTGCGTGGGCTTTATCCCCCCAGTACAGTATTACTGTAACCAAATACGGGAGGATGTGACGGATGGGTTGTGCTGAAAGAATGAGAAGGAAACGAGAATTAAGCACAGAATTTTAACTGGAAGATCGGAAGGAATTAAATTATTTTTGGATATTTACATGTATAGAGAAAACTGCATAATGAGGAGCTTCATAACTTGTACTCTTCTCCAAGTATAATTAGAATGAACAAGTCAAGGAGGATGAGATGGGCAGGGGACGTAGCACGAATGGGGAGGAGTGCATGTAGGATATTGGTGAGAAAGCCAGAAGGAAAGAGACCACTGGGAAGACCAAGGCGTAGGTGGGTGGACGATATTAAAATGGATCTTAGAGAGATAGGATGGGATGGTATGCATTGGATTGCTCTAGCTCAGGATAGGGACCAGTGGAGGGCTCTTGTGAACACAGCAATGAACCTTCGGGTTCCATAAATGCTGGGAAATTCTTGAGTAGCTGCAGAATTCGCAGCTCCTCAAGAAGGGCTCAGCTCCATAAGTAATTAAGTAAGACGTATATTGAAGAATAATATTAAAACATATCTTAAAAACGTGATGTGACAGTATGGACTAGATTAAGGTGGCTCAGATATGTTCTTGTTAATACAGGAATGAATTTTCGGTTTCCAAAAATACATCTCTTTACCAACTGAGCGACTGTTGGCTTCTCAAGAAGGATTCTGATGTTTGGAGTTAAGAATGGGAAAGCCTTGACAAGAACTGTTAGTCGCCAAATCTGAAGAAGTAGCAATTCCTTCGAGGGACTGAAGATGGCGGTCTCTGGGCTTAGGATTTAACCTAGAATCTCCGGGATACCTAGTAGGAATACTATCCAATCGAGCAAGACGTTGGGGTGCATTTAATAAACACTGCATTCCGGAAACTAGACCTGTTTCCATCATCAGGTGTGAGGAAGGAAGGTTCCTATTAAGTTGGGACTATTAGAAAGAGCTAGTCTCCATTACTGGGGAGCACGCGGTAGCGTTATTGGTTGAGGCACTATGCTACAAGCTGGAAGGTCGCGGGCTCAAACCCGATGAGGTCACTGAATTTTTCAATTGGTCTAACCCTTCCAGCCGCACTATGACCCCGGGCCGACTCAGCTTCTAACAGAAATGAGTGCCAGGAATCTTTCTGGGGATAAAGGGCGGCCGGCTCGTAAGGCTGACAACTTCACCCCCATCTATGAGTCGATTGTCTAGAAAATATGGGAGCCTCGACGTCCCAAAATCCTATGGGCCTCCATGGCCTGTTATAGGTACAGCTCTTCCTTATCTAGATACTCGTCAACGAAAGACGTTTCAAGAAGGGAATATATTTTGTTAAGGTCAAATATCGGAGGGAGATGAGAAATGAAAATTTGCCAATGCAGGAAAGGTAAAAATGTCCTATACATTCCTTACACCAAATATCCCCGACAGAGTAGACAGTTGCCAAAATTACTATTCATATAATGAGTCAAACATTGTCACAGCCTCTTCAGAGAATCGCAGGCCATTTACAATACAAGCCTATATTTTGTCGAATTTGGAAGTTCTGCTGGTGTAATTGTTTTACTACTTCTTAGCGAGTGGGACAGAAGGATGTATATTTTTTTATTGCTAGTGGGGTGGGACTAAGTCCCTTCTACTGCGGCCACTTCTGGCCTATTGTACCAGCCCCAGATGATAGGTGAGGGTGATTGTGGAGCAATTGGTGGAATGAAGATTGGCAGGGGAAACCGAAGTTCTCGGAGAAAACCTGCCCCAGCGCCACTTTGTCCACCACAAATTCCAGTTGACCAGACCCGGGATCGAACCCGGGCCGTCGCGGTGGGAAGCCAGCGACTAACCGCTTGAGCTATGGCGAGGCCCCTAAGGATGTATAAGGGTACGAGATTAGTAACAGAGTGCCTGAGGAGCACCACATAAAACCCTTAATTCTTTAGTGGCTCTCTACTATTTGGTCGAATACTTTTCCGGATTATAGTACGACGCATTAAAGAGGGATAGCTCAGGCGGTACAACGACTAGGCCATGGGCTGGACGTCCGGGGTTGGGTTCCCTGCAGGGGCAACAGATTTTTCGCTCATCACAGTGTCCAGACCAGCTGTGGGGCCACCCAACCTCTTATCTTATGGGTAACGGGGGTTGTATCACTGAGGGTAAAGCGGAAGGGGCTTGAAGCTGACCGATCACCTCCACCTAGTGCTGAGGCCAAGAATGGTGGAGCTATGCCTCCCATATAACTTCATGGCATGTTGCTTAAGTACGAGTACATACTGTAGCGTGTACAGTCTTTTCTATGTAATGACTGCGACACAGGCGAATAAACAAAGGCAGTTTCTATGCAACGAATCGGTAAACAAGTTCCTGTGGCAACGAATACGCACGCAAGAATGGTGTTACTGTTGGAAACAGTGTTTTCTACTCGGTCCGTGCAAAGGGATTATAAGGAAGACAATTTACGCGTCCTAGTCAGTTGAGAGTTGAGTTCTGCAAGGGAAGCTGAGAAGAGATGGCGCTATAGTTCACTTGTGGGATATTCCCTGGTCAATAACGACGTGAGCACAGGAGCTGAAGAATCTCCATTGTTGAGAGCTGTTACCAGGCAACGACTAGTAAAGATACTGCATTCTGGAGAAAATTTAGCGTGTAGTGATCTGTAAAGTGAGGGAATCAACCACAGCGCTGTAATTACTTCTGTCCCGAGTGATGTATACAAGTGGTCCATCAGTCCATTGAACATTCCATGTCCCGTCTAGTCACACACCTAAACCGTTACAGTATTCATGCGCAGGGATAACTTTACCATGTGCAGTAGGTTAAAGTTTCTCAAAAGAGATATTACTTTAAGGCTTTAGGGATTAGTTCGAAACGTAGTCATGAAAAATTTTTAACTTAGTTTTTGTAGGGAATATTTCACGTACGTTTTTATGAGATTATCCCTACTTTTATTAAATTGCTCCATACAATAGGATTATCGCAACTGCTGAAACGTCAGTGAAAAGATTAGTTTTTCCCCGCTTAATGAGACTGCAGACAGGGAGTTAACATTTCCATTAAGAAGTAATACAGGCCTTCTGTGTCTTACGCAGAGAGAGAGAGTCCGCTTATCTTCTAGGCTTCATTCATCTGGCCCCAACAGACTGGGCCGCAGACCCATCTTAACCGCAGATCGACTGCGCTGCGCTGTCTCTCTTTCTCCTCCGGGTCAGTGGACTTAATGCAGTTTACGGGCTTATCCTTGGGCGGTGACATTTCGCAGGCGGAAACCATTAGAGCTCGTCCTATTATTCTGGCTGTAAACATTGACTAAAACCGAAGCATTGTTGTTATTCTCAGCTCTGTCACAGTTCCGTTAAGATCAGTACACTTCTACAGCACTTACGAAGTTGTCTTTAAAAGATAAAGTTTGCCCAGTGCATTTTTTTATTGCTAGTGGGGTGGGATTAAGTCCCTTGTACTGCGGCCACTTCTGGCCTATTGTACCAGCCCCAGATGATAGGTGAGGGTGATTGTGGAGCAATTGGTGGAATGAAGATCGGCAGGGGAAACCGAAGTACTCGGATAAAACCTGCCCCAAGGCCGTTTATCTCGTTCTTCTAGACCGGAGCAGCTATTTCCTTGAAACGACTCTTCAATTATCCTCACGAGGCTGAGTGGACCCTGTTCCAGACCTACTATTTCTCAGGAAATCTGGTAGCGCCGGGAATCGGACCCGGGACCTCTGGGCCTGTAGCCAGGAACTTTGACCACTAGACCAGAGAGGATCATTAAATAAATTAATCACTCAGTTATGCTTCCCATCTCATGGACTCTGGATAACAAACGAAACAGCGTTGCTAAAGTGAGTAGCGAATTTCTCCTGCCATTTCATGCTGCATAATCTGTGCAGTTGAATCAGTGTCGTAAAGTAATCTAACCAATCAATACAGCTCTAACAGCATAGTTAAATAACAGGCGACTCAGTTCAACATATAATCTCTGCAGCTGAAGCAGCTTTGTTAAATAATTTAATCGGTACAGCTGAAAGAGCATCATTAAATAACTTACGGGTGAACCAGCCCACCTCATTCAACTCGGTTAAAACGGATCAGGGTACAAGTAAGTACAGTCTCCACAGAGTCTCCCCTGTTTTCAGCAGGTGCTCTGTTCGAATCCCTGTCTGGACGCGGATTATTCTGAGGCATTTCATGGCTTTACTCAGTACCTACAAGCTAAAACATGATATTGCTTCTAATAGGTTATGACCGCTTCCTTCTACATCCTTTGTAATTAATTTTTCACTTATCATTCTCCCGTTTAACACTGCATATTCTGAGATAGTGGCAGTATCGTTAAATAGGCCAAAACCATAAGTAATATGTAGTTACATCTTATGAGTATATAAAACCTCGTAGTTGATGCTCTCCTTGCAGCTTTCTTCATTCTGGTATTTTGTTCGTCTGACGTTTAACTCCTGAAGATATAGGCCATATATTCTTCCGAAACGTTGGTTGGCTTTCACAGTTTTTCTAGTTTCGTGGGGTGGGGTTGAGATAGGATGGGATGGTAGAGATTGGATTGATCTGGCTGAAGATAGGAACCAGTGAACCTCTTATCCACTCATCTCTGGGGAAACGCGTTTGTTGTTTCGGCAATTCCTATGCAACGGCCCACTGTTATTGCGTTTCCATGGAAGTATACTTTCCGGTTTCATCCGTTGTTACGCAACGGAACCTCTTAACCTATGCAATCGGTGAAGAACTTTCGGAGATCTTCGAAGGGTAACAAACCAACATTTACGTTTTTATTTATATAAATAGATAGAAGATAGATTGACATTTTTAATGATTTTAACATCATAAAGTATTAAAATACATTTTTAGTGAGTGACATATTCTTGATGTCTTTTAAATTGTTGCATTATTTACGTGTACTTTGATAAATAAGAATATGTCGCGTGGGGCTCTTGTGAGCACTGTAATGAACCTTGGAGTTCCATAAATGCTGGGAATTCTTGAGTAGCTGCACAATTGGTGGCTTCTGAAGAAGGGCTCAGCTCCGTGAGTGAGTGATGAGTGAGGGGTGGGGTGAGACTAAGTCCATTTGGTACGTCGGCCACAAATGGACCTATTGTATTGCCCCGGATGATAGATGATGAGCGTGGAGCAGCTGATGGAACGAGAATTGGCAAGGAAAACCGAAGTACTCGTAGAAAACCTGCCCCAGTGCCACTTTGTCCACCACAAATCCCACATGACCAGACGCGGGCTCGAATCAGGGCCGCCGCGGTGGGAAGCCGGTGAGTAACCGCCTGAGCTAAGGTAAGGACTTCTACAGGTTTACTCCCAGGATGTATAACCTTTATAGTACCGCGGTGTGAACCATAAATCCAGAAGTAAATAAATGTATAAATACAATGAAGCAGCATCATTCAGTCTACCCAGAGTAAGCTCAAGGTCATCAAGGGCTGGTTATGACGACATTGCTGCTGTATGTCTGTCTTAGACGCCTTTTCAACGAGCGCTTATGGTGCGTCTTGCCTAACCATTAATCATTTGCGCGGTTCTGTGTAAACAGCTCCATTTAAATAAATGGTTTCTAAGACTCGCTGCCAGTAGCAGCTTTCCCTTACCCTGCTGAGCAAGGAGCAGCAGCCCCTGACGACGGCAGCCTGCCTGGAGGGTTGTTCCTCTACCTGCAGCAATTTGTTGAAGGGACGGTGACACTTGCAATAGGCGTGTTCCAGCAGTAACAGAATGCACGACAGGAGAATTCCCGAACCGAGCAGCAGAAAGGTCGAGAAGAACTGCTCCAGCGCCAAGGGGTCGCTCCTACTCTGCTTTTCTTTACTCATGGGCTTGTTACATGCACCGGTGAACCAGAAATGACGTAAGCGCTCCATATCCCCTGCGAAAACAAAATGAAAGCTTTTGGTTATTTACTTGTTAATTCCATCGAGTGTTTTGTACTTAAGGTGCAGACATCACAACAGCACACGTCTGGACAGCGAACATAGACACGATTTACAGAGTACAGACTCAAATTAGTACACCTGAATAACTTATTATACTGTCAAACTCCACACAGCAGATTCCGTCTTGAGAAGGTAATACTCGCAGAGATGCTGAAGAAATACTATTATCTAGAAAGGTAAAGATATCTCTGTAACAGGGACACGCGGTAGCATAGTTGGTTGACGCGCTGTGCTACAAATCGGAAGGTCACGGGTTCGAGTTGCGATAAGATAGATTTTTTTTTTGACCTAATCCTTCCAGCCGCATTATGGCCCAGGGGTCGACTCTGCCTCTAATAGAAATGAGTACCAGGAATATTCCTGGGGGGTAAAGGACGGCCGGCGCCTAAGGCTGACAAACTTACCGCCATCTATGATCCGATTGTCCAGAGAAAATGTGGGAGCCTCGACGTCTCACAACCCTATGGGCCTTCACGGCCTGTTACAGGGACAGCTTTACTTTTTTATGTAAGTAAAATAGGATACATAGCTCAATCCTCTTTTAACTGAAAATTAATCATTTCATGATAATCAGCCATCGTACAAGTATGACCCTCTCTGGGTGGTTATTTATCTTCTTCGATATTGCAAATTTCTGTCGACGAAGTCGCATTAATTCAACGTCGCATCGAGTCTGTTAGTTTTTTTTCTCTCTCTTCTTGCTCAAACTTTGGAGCATAGGGTTGATTTCTCAGTTTCATGATCATTTTACAGGCGGTAGGCCTCCTTGGGCGGGTGATCAGCTCGTCGCAAGGTCTCTACCTAAACACAGGGCAACACAAACACAGAATACACGCATACAGACACACCAAACATCCATGCCTTGTGTGGGATTCGAACCCACGATCCCGGCTTCCGAGCGAGCGAAGACAGTCAATGGCTTAGACCGCTCAGCTACCGTGACCGGCCGAGTCTGTGTGTGCTTTTACATTATTTAACTTCGTCAGAGTGGGCTCTTTTGCAAACAGTGATACATTCTGGTTCAAGTTAAATATTCCTTTGTCTCTGAAATGTAGGTAACAAAAACAGACGACAACTGGTCTTCGGATCTAACTATTTATTTTAACTATGAACACTTTCTGAGTAGTTACTGAAACAGCATTCAGTTTACTTGACTCAGGAAATGACTGAACCGTACGGAAGTTTTAACTTACCTGTACAGTGAAAACTGTCGTCTGTCTGTGGCTTATATACCGATGTTTCCAGTATTTAGACCAGGCTTGCTATAGCGTCGAGTGGTAAGACTGATGTGAATGATGATGAATTGAAAAGATTTGGAAAGAAGCGTCCATGACTAAGAACAGATACTTCAGTCAGGATAACTGGTGCCTGGATTCGAACCTGTCGCCTCCCAAATACAAATCCAGAGCCTTATCAATACTCGGCTAAACCTGTCTATGTCATCTGTCACAGTTAACCGCGTTTCTCTGAAAACAGCGAAATCATATTTATTTATATATGGTCCATGCTCTTTAATTTGGCCACCCGTCTATTTTATATATCATCCAACTTCTTGCAGTTCATGCTGTGGTTATGCAGTGTAAATATTTATTTATATATGGTCCATGCTCTTTAATTTGGCCACCCGTCTATTTTATATATCATCCAACTTCTTGCAGTTCATGCTGTGGTTATGCAGTGTAAATATTTATTTATATATGGTCCATGCTCTTTAATTTGGCCACCCGTCTATTTTATATATCATCCAACTTCTTGCAGTTCATGCTGTGGTTATGCAGTGTAAATATTTATTTATATATGGTCCATGCTCTTTAATTTGGCCACCCGTCTATTTTATATATCATCCAACTTCTTGCAGTTCATGCTGTGGTTATGCAGTGTAAATATTTATTTATATATGGTCCATGCTCTTTAATTTGGCCACCCGTCTATTTTATATATCATCCAACTTCTTGCAGTTCATGCTGTGGTTATGCAGTTTAAATATTTCAACCTTCCTATGTTGGCCACACAGGAGGGTGAAGAGTTTTACTGTACCAGTCAAAAAAAGTTAAAACATTCTTTCACATCCGTCCTTTGTAATCGTATACCTGCCAAACCAAATTTTTGCTCCTTCTTCGGGATTAGTGAATTCGAATTCGTAAGTAAAGTGTTTGTTTCATATTCAGTTCACATATATTAAATTATCTGTTCATTAATCAGGTTCAGAAGAATAATGTAAACTGTCTAATAATGTAATCTCATGGCAAACGCAATAAGACACTGTATATAACAGGGATATATTTGGGAACGACGATAACAAATCAAAACCTGATTCAGGAGGAAATTAAGAGGAGATTGAACTCGGGTAATGCTTGCTACCATTCAATCCAGAACCTTATGTCTTATCATCTGCTGTCTAAAACATAAAAATAGAATATACAAAACTATAAATTTGCCTGTGGTTCTGTATGGGTGTGAAATTTGGTCTCTGACATTAAGGTAGGATCATAGACTATGGGTGTTTGAGAACAGGGTGTGGAGAATATTTGGACCGAAGAGACATGAAATGATGGGAGGTTGGAGAAAACTGCATAATGAGGAGCTTCATAATAATTAGAATGATCAAGTGAAGGAGGATGAGTTGGGTAGGGGATGTAACGCGAATGGGAGAGAAGAGGAATGCATATAGGATATTGATGAGAAAGCCAGAAGGAAAGAGACCACTGGGAAGAACAATATTAAAATAGATCTCAGAGAGATAGGATGGGATGGTACGGACTGGATTGATCTGGCTCAGGATAGGGACCAGGGGAGGGCTCTTGTGAACACAGTAATGAACCTTCGGGTTCCATAAAATGCTGGGAAGTTCTTGAGTAGCTGCACAATTGGCGGCTTCTCAAGAAGGGCTCAGCTCCATGAGTGAGTGAGTGATATAACAGTTAAGCGTGTATTCAATTACATACACGAAAAATGGAAATTTTAACACATTTTCTGTAAGTTTGCCACGTACTTAAGTTGGCCGGGATTGAGTGGAGCAACAGGTGGCCAAACTAGACAGATCAGCTGTCAGCATACTGTTAGGTCCTCTTCATACCTGATTCCAATGACGAGCACCAACACAAAATAAGTTCATAATTTGTGCTACAGATGAGACAACATTTACGTGAGAATTTAGGGAGAATGAGATGCGTGGGCATGTAGCATACATGGGAGAGAAGAAAAAGCATACAGAATTTTTGTCGAAATCCCATAAAGGAAGAGATTACATGAGAGACGCAAGTACAGTTCATTGGGTCGAGTGTCCAGTTCCTTTGAAGAGCATAACTGACATTGTGTTCCATAAAATGGGGGAATTATGGTCCAAAAAGATTTCTACTCAAGAATAGCTAGCAGGAGGTACAATACGGCTCATTATGCTTAATTTGCACGTCATGAAAGAAAATAATCGATGTGTTTATCCGTTCATGTCTCTGAAATTTCTCCGTGGATTTCTATAAAACTGGTAACCGACTTACCATTCTCGCGGTATTCCATAAGCTGCTGGTTCACGAGGTCCCGGAATTTGGAATGCCTGGGGAAACCGACACCATACCCCGTCATGGCGAACCAGGATCCGACAGTGAGGAGGACACACTCCGAGTCCTGTCCTACCAGGTACTCTAGCACCGTTGCGTCATAGATGAAGGCATCCAGCTTCCTGTAAAACCACATTTCACAGCAACATTAATTGTGAACTTACACAACCCCCCTCCCGAAAGGTGTCTCCATCTGGTCGTGGTGGTGGGGCTTGCGTGACTCTGTGACATGGAGAGCTATGCCGGGGGTAGTTTAACTACCGGTAGAGTCACCTATGCCGGAAAGGTCAAAGGGTACAGTCCAGACTAAGAGAGATACCCTGGTCCTCCAGGTTGGGGGTTGGGCATGAGGCTAACAACCTCATCCAATTTTGTTCAGAAACCTAACAACCAGCCTCGGGTCATTATGCGTGTGTCCATTCCTATGGCAGCAGGCACTGGTTGTGGTGACTGGTTGTAGAGGAGGCCAAGGCTCACCCAGGGCTGTAGCGCCGAGTGGTAGGTAGGTAGATGGGCGGGTGGGTAAGTAGTAGGTAGGTAGGTAAGTAAGTAGGTAGATAGGTAGGTAGGTAGGAAGGTAGGTGGGTGGGTAGGTAACTTACACAAAAGTCACGATTATGTACACCAAATTCTCAACTTTTAGTGGAAACGCAAAGCTGTAGAGACATGAAGGGAGAAATAATGACGCGTGACAGAATGAATTATGTGAAATTGAAGAAAAAGAGCAGAAATAAGACGAAAGGAATAAATAAATAGAAAGAGATATAAAGACAGAAGAGAGCAGAAGAGATTAAAGAAAGCAAGTTAACAAAATGAATACGAACAGAGAGAAGGGACAAACGAAAGGGAGGGAGGGACCAGTCTAACAACAGGACATTTTTACTACACGACAAGCAGAAGGAATGCAATTCAATAGAGGAATCAGAATACCAGCTACGAAGAGACGGGAAAGGCTAGGAAAAGGAGTGATGAACAGTTTTGATCACATATTTTCATTAACCACGTGATTGCTGAGATACTTTTGTCAGCTTATTTCAGGGCGATTTGGGCGTCGAAAAATTTTCTATTGTCTCTTTTCATTAACCACGTCGTCACTCCCTGTTGGATAACAACCCGCTCGTCTGTTTCGTCTAATCAGGGCTTCACTTCCTCATCACCACCCACTGCGATATTTACAAAAGAGTTTCCAAAGCCCCACAAAACATGGTCATTAGTCACGCAGACTCCGAAAGCCGAAACTGGTGACGTCATTCCGGTGTAACATACGTAGCTCTGGCAGATCTTAAATTTGAATAATTTAATATCAACGCGTTTTATTTATTCATAAACAAAAATAAAACAAACTCCGTGGCCTGTAGTCCACAAGCGAACTATACCGACCGAGCAACCGCCGCTTGTCGGCGAAGTTAGTGCTAACTTTTTTGGATAGAGGGTGTCACGTGATCAGCGCAACGGATCTCCACGGCCCTTAATTTCGGTTTTCTANNNNTTGTCGGCGAAGTTAGTGCTAACTTTTTTTGGATAGAGTATGTCACGTGATCAGCGCAACGGATCTCCACGGCCCTTAATTTCGTTTTTCTAGATCGGAGCCGCTATTTCCTTAAAATAGCTCCTCAATGACGCTCACGAGGCTGAGTGGACCCCGTTCCAGGCCCCCTACTCCTCAGAAAATTTCGTAGCGCCGAGAATCGAACCCGGACCTCTGGATTTGTAGCCAGGAACTCTGATCATTGGACCACAGAGGCGGTAGTTGAGGCTATTGCTTAGAAAATGGGTTAACTTATCTCAGCATCTCGTCCAGTCGCTGCATTGCTTTGGCAATACACCCTTGGTTTGACTGGCTTTCATTTTGTTGTTGCCTTAGCAGAATGGATAATATGTGTATCAAGTTGTCCACAATCTCGATTATTTTTCTCGCTTGGATATAGTGGCGAGACAAAATGGTAACTCTGGCCGTGTACTCGGAAACACTATGGACCATATCAAGGTCGTGATTTAATCTCCGTGCCGATTGATATAACCACCATTTTTAAATTTTACTCTCGCATATGTTCTCTGCGGTTATTTGCTTTGCGAGTATCCTCTCTAAGCAAGCAGCTTCCGTAATGCAGTCAAGTGGCGCCTCTATCGGCGTTCCAGCGAACTCGTTCCAACTGGCGAGAAAACATACCTGCGAGTTTTATGTTGAATGGTAAGAAGCAAGCGTATTTACCCTTCTTTGACTGCCTGAACACCTTGCATGACGGTAGATCTGTTGAAGGGTCGCATGTATGAGTGCATAGTTGGGAAGTTCCTCCGCAATACAGCGTCTGTGTTGCCATGCGGAATCGTCCCAAAGCGAAATGATGGCTTCAGAGAGTGTGGGTTACTCAGCTGTTAAACACAAAGAGAACGACCAATCTGAAAACAATCTGAATAATTATCTAAAAGTTCTAATGAATTTATGATTTACTGCAGGTACAAATTCATGGTAGCCGAGCGGTCTAAGGCATGTACTGTCTTCGCTCGCTTGGACGCTGGGATCATGGGTTCGAATCTCATTCATGGCATGGATGTTCGGTGTGTTTATATGTTTATTCTGTGCTTTTGTTGTCCTGTGTTTAGGTAGAGGCCTTGCGTCGGGCTGATCGCTCATCCAAGGAGTCCTACCGTCTGTAAAATGATCATGAAACTGAAAATCAGAGGTCAGGGCTCAAGGGGGCTGTAGTGCAAGTGAAAAAAAAAGATTAACAAGTTCTGCGGCCCCTGTGTCTAATTATTCTAAAGATTTCCTCCTCTCTATTGGGTACGGGGGGCTCTTTCCAAGGGAGTAAAACTGCAGGGGCGTGAAGCTGACCACCCACCTCTAACAGTGCCGAGGTCAAGAAAATGTGGATCTATATATCCATTCCCCCATACGCCTTCATGGTGCGGTGCTTAATTAGCTAAGCACAAGGGCAACTTTAAAAAAGTAAAGGTATCCCTGTAACAGGCCGTGAATGCCTATAGGGTTGTGAGACGTTGAGGGGCCCACATTTTCTACATAGACAATCGGCTCATAGATGGCGGTAAGTTTGTCAGCCTTATGCGCCGGCCGCGCTTCACTCCCCACCTTTACCTATATATATATATATTTCCTTGGCACTACAGCCCCAGTGGGTCTAGGCCTACCTCCATGAACTTCTCCGTTCACTTCGGTTTTTCTAGATCTTACACATACGGTAGGACTCCTTGGGCGAGTGATCAGCTCGTCGCAAGTCCTCTACCTGTAGACAAACACACAAAAACGCACACAAACATCCATGTCCTGAGTGGGATTCGAACCCACGATCTCGGCTTCCGAGCGAGCGAAGACAGTGCATGCCTTAGACCGCTCGGCTACCGTGACCGGCACCTATATATATTTAGCTTCGTCAAAATAAAGCATGCTTGGTGGCAAATGCGGGCTTACTCAACCTGTCTTTTTTAATATCTGTTTTAATGTTATCTTTCCACCAAGTTGCCTACTAAAGTTCTGTATGCATTTTGTATCCCTTCACATGCGCGCTACATGCCCCGTTAATCAAGTCCTTGAATTAATCACCCCATTTTTGGAGAAGAATAATAATTATGAACCTATTAATTATGGAATTTCTCTAGCCTCCTGTTATTTCCTCCGTCTTACGTCGTTTCTTGGAAGTTTCTTCCTTACATCGCCTTGAATAAAATATATGCAGACTCTGCCGTAAACCGTCGCTTGAATTCATGTCGGGTCAAGTTAAGGTGAAACCCGGGCTCTTCTCGTTTCATCTAGATACAAGGCAGAAACAAATTTCGTGCAGTAAGCTGTCTCGTGTCTGAAGGAATGATTGAACACACGTCGACCCGCTGTTTGTCCTGTGTGAAATGACTGTTTTCAGAGTACAGCTTATGAGGCTTCACTCAGCGAACAGATGGTATATTCTAACGTATCGACTTTCTGTCAGAAACGCTTTGCCGTAAGTACTATATGAAAGTGTCCAGCCCATCCATCTTCATAGTGTGACGTGTAGACCCATTTCTAGGCAACGCCCAAAATAAGCGATAACGAATACTGCGTGGTAACAGGACGCTACAATAGCGGGGCTGTGTTTTCTGTGCTGCGTGGTCCGTGCGGCGACTTTATAAGGGAGACAGTTTGAAGAATAGCCAGAGACGTGACTCGACACCTAGACTTACTGACTGACCGTTAGTCGCTGTGTGACTTTGATTTTGACTTTCAATAGTCAGAAAACCCGTGTGGAGGCGGGGTCGAATACCTCCACCGTGACCCTGCGAGTCGTAGGAGGCGACGAAAAGGGAAGCTCCAAATCTGAGACAGTAAAATATGGTCGCGAGTCCCAAGGGACTCGGACCCGAGAAAGACTGCGCTGGCAATGGCCAGCAGCATTTACAAAAGACAGACCCGTCCTCTCGTCAGGGAGGGCGCCCCACCAAACAAGATCGTAACTGTCAAACAGTAATAAATATTATGGGGCTCAACACCAACACTTAATGACTGACCGTCAGTCGCAATGTGTCTTCGAATAGCCAGAAAATATAAGAGGCCTAAACTTGGCGGCGGTCGAGCTTACGACCGTTCAAGTGACTAGACTGCTGTTGTAGCAGGAGTTACTTAATGATGGGGCATGATCTGCTGTACTGAGCCTGGACTGCAGAGGCCCTGTATATGCTGTATATACATACATTTAATAACGTGTAAAATGTAAACTGTACATACTGAAAACAGACTTATTACTGCTGACTGTGACTCTGGCAAAAAACAGACCAGTCCTCTCGTCAGAGAGAGAGCCCACATTAACAAATCTGCAACTGTCTGACAGTAATAAGGATGTGGTCTTAAGCCCCAGATGGATGTTTTATTCCAAGCCAGGCTGGCCGACTGACCGTCGGTCATAACATAACTTTGACTTTGAATAACCAGAGAGATTAGATTATAGAATTGGAATTGGGAGTACAGAACCGTAGTCGGAAGAGAATTGGGTGGAGCAGACTATGCCAAGAAGACGCTATTTGTACGCTGAAGTGACAGACTGTGATAAATCCGTTGCCACGATACGACTAGTGAAGACTGAGATCCCTAGTGTGTGTGCAACGGTGAACTGTAGTGTGTAGTTTAGCGGTAGCGCTGTCCTGCCTGTAGTCCCGAGTTGTGTGTATAGGGTGTCAATAATTCCAATCATCCAAACCAGAAACCTTTATTATTCGTCATGAAACCCACGACAGGTGGCAATATTATGGACAGTTACAATTTCATTTAAGTAGATATAATTTTAGATCTAAAGGGTTCAGACGACGGTAGGTAACGCTCGGGAGTGCTGGATCTTTGGGTTCTGCCCATCATACGGTGTTCAAAAAAACACTACAGGATGTATTTCAGAAAATAGATCTGCTCTTTCTAGTAGACCCAAAAGTACGCGTCTCTCACCCCTCATCTGAGGAAGGAAACAGATCCAGTTTTCGAAACGTTGTGCTCTTTAAAATACCGGATGATGGGTAAAGTCACTAGACCTGACTTTTATTACGAATTTACAGGATGCAAGAAATAGTGCAATATAGTGTTTATTACCATGAAATAAATAAAGAAAGCCACAAAGAAATAATACACATGTTAAAAACAGTATTTGAACAAAATTATTTCCAAATTGACGAATACTACAAACAAACAGGTGGACTAACTATGGGTGCCCCAACATCAGCTATAATAGCAGAAACATATATACAATATATGGAACACACACAAATATATCCCATTCTAGTAAAACAACAAATAGTGGCCTACTTCAGATATGTCGACGACACATTAATAATATATGACGAAAAAATAACAAACATAGAACATACACTCAAAGAAATTAATGAATTGCAACCATCTATAAAGTTCACCATTGAAAGAGAACAACAAGAATCTATTAACTTTCTATATATAATAATATATCGCAATGAAGATAGTTTGCAATTCGCAATATATAGGAAACCCTCACAAACAGACATCATAATACCTAACAGTTCGTGCCATCCATTCGAGCACAAATTGTCAGGTATTAATTACCTCATAAATAGACTGTACACATACTCAATAACGGAAAAAGGAAAACAAATAGAGAAGAACATTATTAAAAACATACTATATAACAACGGATACGGCACAGACATAATCAAAAGATTAAATCAGACAACACGAAAACAAAAATCAAACACACATGACAACGAACAACAACACAAAACAAAGTGGGCTATATTTACATATAGTACAAAAGAAGTGAGAAAAATTACAAAACTTTTTAAAGACACGCAGATAAAAGTAGCATTCCGCACACGAAACACAATAGAAAACATACTCAAACAAAAACCACAATTAGATAAATACAATAAAAGTGGCATATACCAAATGAAATGTGTAGATTGCCCATTGAAATACATTGGACAAACGGGCCG